AAAATAAGTAAATAAATTAAAGGTATTGTGGGCAACTACAACTAAAAAGTAAATATTAAAAAGAAAGATTCACTTAGAATATTTTGCTATGCCAAAAAGTAAGGATTTGCTCAAAAAATGATGGTCACATGACCCAGTAAAAAGATACTCAAATTGGCTGAATCTGGGACAAACTGATAATCAGAATAAGTTGGAATAGAAATGGATTACAAACCACTGAATAAATAGGAATCCATATCCATAAAGAATAGATAATTTATGAGCAAGGGAGAAGGAAAGATTGGTAGAGTTAGAAAATGACTATTTTGTACCATCATTTTTTAAAACAAGAATCATCAGTAAATAATAAATCTTGAAGTATAAGTTTCATGAGAAGAAGATATTTACATGTTATCATAATATTACCTCACAGATTCCTTATAAATTGCAAGGAGATAAACACTAACTATGTCACTTTCTTAAAAATGGACAATGCATTGACAAGATGATTAAAATTTTTAATCATGATTAAAAGACAAATGGATTTTATGTACCTATAGATGTAATTCCTTAAAGACAACATAAGCTCACTCGAGTGAGCTATCTTCCTATCTCTTTCCCTGATATTTAGAATTGGATGAAATTCTTCTTTTGTGTTCTTTTTTATTCTTTTCTTGAGTGATGTACCTCTTCAAACTGGATAGTCACATTCTTTAATTTTGGCGATGACTAGAAACATATACACATATATATCCAGTATTCAAAATTTTTTTTAAAATATATTTTTAGTTGCAGACACAATACCTTTATTTTATTTGTTTATTTCTATGTGGTTCCAGGGATTGAACCCAGTGTCTTATGCATGCTATGCAAGTGCTCTACCACTGAGCCACAATCCCAGCCCCCAGTATTTAAATTTTTAAATTTAATTATCATGTATTGATTCTCTAAGTCTCTTATTTTATATATATATATATATATATATATATTTTAATGTTTATTTTTTTAGTTTTCGGTGGACACAACATCTTTGTTTGTATGTGGTGCTGAGGATCGAACCCGGGCCGTGCGCATGCCAGGCGAGCGCGCTACCGCTTGAGCCACATCCCCAGCCCATTATTTTATATTTTTTAATCTCCTTTTTTTCTGCTTTCTGGGAGACTTTTCTCAGTTATGTATCTTCAAGTCCATTTATTAATTTGGGGTTTTGTTTGTTTGTTTTTACAATGCTGGCAATTAAACCAAGGGCCTTGAACATTCTAGGTAAGCCTCTACCACTGAGCTATGTACCATGAGCCCCGAATTTTTACTTCAACCATCAAAACTTTAATTTCTAAGAATTATTTATTATTATCTGCTTTTTTTCCATAAAAATACATCCAGACCATAGCAATAGTACCTGCATATACAAGCATGTAGAGAAATATATTATAAATAAAATAACAAAAGTTAAAATGACATTAGGCTTAATAACACAGCCAGATTTGGTAAATAAAGATATAGGACATGTATTAGCTTTCTGTTGCTATGACAAAATAACTGAGAAAATCAACTTAAAGAAGGAACTATTTGTTTTGGCTCACAGTTTCAGTGTTTTAAATTCCTGGTCACCTCGATCCATTGTTTCTGAGCTTGTGATGAAGCAGAACATCATGGTGGGGAGTGTGTGGTGGAGCAAAGTTGCTCACCTAATGGCAGCTGAGAAGCAAAGAAGCAGGACAGAGAGAGGCCAGGAAAAAAAAATATCCTTCAAGGACAAACCCCAGTGACCTATTTCCTGTAACTAAGCCCTACCCTTAAAGTCTCCACTACCACCTTCCAATGCCCATTAAGATCTGATGCAGTCATCTCCCAAAAGGCCCCACCTCTGAACACAGGCACTGGGGACCAAGTCTTCCACATATGAGCTTGTAGGGGACATTTCAGATCCAAATTATTTGGATAAAAATTATATAAAAATATATAATTATAGTTGTCTTGAGTCATGCTATGCAAGAGATATAGATAATGTCCAAAATTTAATATTTTCATTGAAAAAAAGATGATCTTACTAAACATATAGTATTTCTTTAAAAAAAAAAAAGCCTACTTGATAATATATTGCCTACTAAAGGTAAAAATTACATTAAAAATCCAATTGAATTTGAATTTCAGGTGCCTGAATAATTGTTTAGTATATGTATATCCCAAATTTATGGTATTTATAGTTCATCTGATTCAAATCACATCAGGTGTTCCATATTTATTCAGCAATTCTACAGTAGTGACATTGAAAATAACTCTCCAGTAGGAATATGCTAGGAGGGCTGGGGTTGTGGCTCAATGGTAAAGCGTTCACCTAGAACATGCAAGGCCCCAGGTTCGATCCTCAGCACCACATATAAATAAATAAATAGATAGATAAAAGGTATTGTGTCCAACTACAACTAAAAAGTAAATATTAAAAAAAATTTTAAAAAGGAATATGCTAGTAGATTACTTACCTTTTCCATCCTCTAAGAGATGTTAATTTAATTTTATTTATTTACTTATTTTTAATATATTTTTAGTTGTAGATGGACACACAATGTCTTTATTTATGGTGCTGAGGATCGAACCCAGTGCCTCACACATTCGAGGCAAGCCCTTTGCCACTGAGCTACAGTCCCTGCCCAGAAATGTTAATTTTAAAAAGCACCTCAGAGAAATAAAAACAGAAGAATAACAAAACACATGTACTCTATTTTTAGCAATGTAAGTGACAGAAAATCTCAAAATCCATACTGAACTAAATTACATTGAACTAAAAAGACTGAACTAAATTACATTGGGCAGCAAATGCAAGGAGAATATCAAGTTGTCTCCTAAGTAGTGGATCTCAGAAAGCATAAGCAAAAAATATATTCTGAAAAGAAAGCACTCAGAAATGGAAAATTTATAACCTATAAATCTAATAACTGAGTGCAAGCCTGCTGTAAGCCAGACTTCAACTGCTGATTTTTCTTTGGTCTTTTCATGGCACTAGCCTTGGAATGAGAATGTGCTTCCCATTCAGAGAACACAAATATGGAAAATGGAATATGAAATACATATGGAATCATAGAAGATGGTTTGAAGTACGAATATGACATATTTTTTTTCATTTATTGAGTAAACCTTTCTTTCCCTACTTATTAAAGTTCTACTGTGTTCTAAATTCTTATAAATGTGAAAACACATATATACACATACATATGTATACATGACTTTCTGAGATTCTGCTTTGGTTTTATGATTTTCAAATTCTTTAAGGACCAATGTACAAAGCTGAATTTAAAAAATACATTTATTCTCTTATCTCTAAAGACATCAATATATATCAAAATAAAGACCATACAAATTATGTTTGAATAATATGGTTATGTTTTGCAAAGGCAATTTTATTTACCTTTAGTAGACAATACTTCTATTATTGTGGGAGACCAATCTCCCATGTGACTAAATTAATTCTCCTGCTGGGTGATGTGGAGTCAGGCACCCATGCTGCTAGACTGCCCCATTCTTCTAGGGTTCCATGATGTGTGTCTTCCTACAGCCCCATATGGGTGAAACTACACTCACCTGTTCCTTTGTAATATAACCTCTTGCCCTGTTTAGGGTAGAATCTTCCATGGAAGTGCCTTGTGTGTGTCCCCTTCTCTTACTGTGCCCTTGGGTGTGATCTACCCAGATGTCAGTCAGCCTGCTGACAGTGGACATCATGAAGATAGACTCAGCCTCCTGAAACCTGACCCCTTGCCTCATGTGAATAGCTTCTCAATAAAAGGGGTCAGCACGTGCGGTGCTCTCTCTCTCTCTTCCTGTGGACCCTTAAGGTCAGAGGAGCCGTCACAGCGACGCCAAAGAAAAAGGTATTTGTGTCTCTTGTGTGATTATTTTGTGCAGCCCAATTAGCCCAGTTCAACTGGAGTGACCCCTGAGCCTTTTAGTCGCGAGAACAGAAACCCGGCATATTATCAAGTAGGCTTTTTAAAAGAAGAAATAGTATAAGATTAGTAAGATTACCATTTTTTCAATGAAAATATTAAATATATTTACCCTCTTGGACATTATCTATATCTCCTGTGTAGTGTGACTCAAGACAAACAAACCATAACCAGAGAGTCAAATTATAAAGGTAATACCTCAGTGAAGAGGCCATATGCCTAGAAAAAGAAATTTCTCTGAATTTTATACATTAGTAAAGAAATAAGAAAATGTCATTTCTCTTTTCAATAGGATTTATTTATGTTTAATTAAAAGTAGCAAATGTTATGTAAGTCATTTTCTTAAGAACTTTATTTTGTACAACCATATGGTTATCAAGCAACATTTATGGAATGTTCCCTGGGTCCATGATACAGAACTTTGTAACTACTGTAGCATCCTCTTTTCCAAGTTTAAACATGACTATGTACACTGAAGAAGCACAGCTGTACCTTGCAGAGTGGTCATCTGTGACAACCTGACATCAAGTGAGAAGCCTCATGAAGAATGTTGTCTTTTGTTGATTTTTTTACAGAATGGCACTTGTCTTTTTTGTGTGATTATCAAACCCATATTGATTTTTTTCAATTCATTTTTCCTTTGCTACCATGAAAACAAACCAGTTAAAACTAAGCAGTGTAGCAATATAACGAATCAAACACATATGATGTTATATCTTATATAGGATGTTTTAGGTGGTATGGATGTTTTATATTAGACATCTGTACTTAGCTTATTTTGGACAATAAAAAGAAGCATATCAGCTAAGCAAACTCAAAGATTATATTGGAGATTGATACACTGTTTTCACACACACACACACACACACACACATACACAAATCTTGGGCTTATTTGTTTTTCAGGAGTTTGGTAGAATAGTTTACTGTTAAAAAGGTTTTGCTGTTTGCTGTTTTCCCCAGATTCCTTTTTTATGCATTTTTAGATAACAGAATAATATTGTTTCTGAAACATTATTACTTGGTTTGACGGGCTACAAGAGTGCAGGCTCACTTTGCCATTCTCCTCTTTGTGAACATTGATTATTTCTGTTTACTTTTCCAAACATGTGCTTATGCTAAAGATCCAAAACCTATGATGGGGAGTCACTGGTAATTATAAATATACAATGTTTTGTTAGGACAACGACTGATCTGAGGGATTGAAGTTTTGTTGCTAATGTAAGAGCTCTGACTATCCTGCTCAGCTGTACAGAGAAGTATTTGGGAATAGGGAAATGCATATTTCCAAAGAAACCATACTGCATGCTTATTTGACTGGTAGAATTTCTCTGGTTTGATGCATCACTGGTATTCAGGGTGGAATCAACATGCAGCTTCTTCAGCAAGCTTCTTACTCCATCAGGAGAGTCCAGCGATGTTACAGATGACTTATAGCCTGTCACTGCACATATCTCTCTATGCTCACTGCCAGGGAGGTTGCAAATTCTCTAGTCCAATGTTAGTCTTAAAACTGAAGGTGCTTTGCTTCAGATACCTGTCATACCTATAAAAAAGAAAATTTCAAAAAAAGAAAAAGAGGGAAAATTTGTATTACAGGTTTTATAATACTTTAAGAATTGTGTGAATTATTTATTTTTATATCTATTACAAATTTGTGTTTAAAATACAAATTGTTGGACTGGGGCTGGGGCTCAGTGGTAGAGAGCTTGCCTAGCACATGTGAGTCACTGGATTCATTCCCTAGCAGCACACAAAAACACTAAATAACAAAGGTATTGTGTTATCTACAACTAAAAATATTTTTAAAAATACAAATTGTTGATAAGAACCATTACTAGTAAAGTGTATCAGTGATTATTTTATTTTGTGCAATGAAATTTCAGCACAGAAAATGGTTAAAGTATTTCACATTAATTTTTATCTGAAGTGACTTTTTTTAAAGACTTTTTTTTTTTTTTGGTGGTGGTGGTGCTGAGGATTGAACCCTGGGCCTTGTGCATGCGAAGCAAGCACTCTAACCAACTAAGCCATATCCCCAGCCCTGAAGTGACTTTTAAAAAACTTTTTATTAAGTAAATTTTAAAAGACCCCAAAATAGGTAAATTTCAAAAATTACCCCCTATATGCAAAGTGATCAACCATCTTAAAGTATTATTCACAATTCTGTTATTGTTCAATAATGCTTATTTACTGCTTATTAAGTGTCTGGTAGTTTTCCAGACCTGCTTTACCTCATTCAAAACACAGAAGAATCAAATGAGCAAGGTTAGAGGCAGAATTACTATGATGCTTAGAAAGCTTACTTGCCTGGGTACCTTCAAAAAAAGAGGCCCTATCAGTATCTTTATGTGTTTATATACAGTCACACTGTCACTTAAGAACTGGACGTGTTCTGAGAAATGCATAGTTAGACATTTTTGTCATACTCACACAAACCTAGATGGTGGAGCCTATGCACATAGGCTGTATAGTGTAAAAGTGGTATAGCCTATTGCCCCAAGGGCCAGGATGAACAAAGCAACACTAGACTACATCTAGCACAAGAGAAATCAATCCAATCAAGGGAGTGAATGAGACTACTGCTGTCATAACATTGTATACTGTTTTATGATAAACTTTTTTTTTTATAAGTAGAAAGAGTGCCATCTAATTATAAAAACTATAATATTGTAAAGAAATCGATAACAGTTACTTATTACCAAGCATTATACACTGTGCATAATTATATGTATCTTGCTTTTATATAACTGGCAACCAAATAGGTTTGTTTAAACTGACATCACCACAAAGACATTGGTAATGTGTTATGATAGCCAAAACATCACTATGAAATTTTCAGCTCCATTATAATCTTAAGGGACCACTGTTGTATATTCAGTCCATCGTTGACCAGAAACAACATTACCTGACGCATGACTGTATTTTGTTAAGTTTGCAAAAATAAGATATTTCAACCACAACCAGTTTAGACAGCTGGCTCTTTCCATTTCAACTGTCTCTTAGTGATAATTTGTCCTCTTATTGTAACTATGGAGCAGCAGTAACCATTTCTATGATCTTAATAAAATAAATGACCATTAATAAAGGGTTGACCAGTATGTATTTTATGTGTTTTGCAATGTCATCCACGTATAGTTACATTTTTCTTGGTCATCTCAGTTTGGTATGTCTTCTAGGAATATTCTGAATATGGTTAATTCAGAGAACATTTAAGAGCAGGCATTCAGAGAAGACCCGAAAAGACCTGACATCTTCTGATTTAGATATGAAAGAGATTCAATAGAGGTTCCCCCATTTTTTTTAACCCAGGGGCACTTAACCACTGAGCCACATCTCCCCATTTATTTGGAGACAGGGTCTCACTAAGTTACTTAGGGCCTCATTAAGTTGCTGGGGCTGGCTTTGAACTTGCAGTCCTCCTGGCTCAGCCTCTTAAGTCACTGGGGTAAGAGATGTGTGCCACCATGCCTGGAAAAGTTTCTCCAAATTTTACAACAATCCTAAAAATTACATATTACTAACAAAGAATTGACAATGTAAAAGAAACCTCAGTAAAAGAAAATTGTCAAAGAGAAAAATAGAAAGCAAATTTCCATAAAATATTTAGAGAATAGTCTAAATAATTTTTTCTATTCCTCCTACAGAAAATGCCATTACAAGATTCTCATCAAATGCAGAGACAATAAAAGAATAGGCAGGGCTTATTATCAGTGGCAGAGTGCTTGCCTAGCTCGTGGAGGCAGCACCACATAAAAATAAACATAAAATAAAGGCATGCTATCTAATTACAACTATAAAAAAATTTTAAAAAAGAAGAGGCAATCAGTGTGTACACAACTAAATAAAGTAGAATATTGTACAGCTGTTAATATGATGTCATTTTCTCTACATTATATATATATATGTGATATCTGAGAAATTTGTTAACACCTAACAATGTAGTTTTCATGATTTATTTTTCTTCTAAATTAATATATGGAGCTGGAACCAATTATATATTCATACTTTGCATTCCTTCCCTTAAAGAGGACTCTGCAAATTCAATTCAGATTCAGGTTCCAGAAGTCCTGGATCTGAGATATATGGTACTGTTATCCCTGTTTTAATTGAAGTTCAGAGAAGTCATGTGATTTTACAAAGTTCACCATTATTAAAAGGTGCAGCAGCCTTTCAAACCTGACTTTCCTTCCCAACACATTAGTAATGATGGTTAATTTCATGTGTCAACCATGGTGTAAATTGTCTGGTCAAATGGCAGCCTAGATGTTGCTTTGAAGATATTTTTAGATGAGATTAACATATCAGTCATTTGAACAAAACAGATTGCCTTCCCTACTCTTAAGAGGGGCTTAAGAGAAACCACCAAAGTCCCATGAGGAAGAAAGAATTTTGCCTCCAAACTGCCTTTGGACCCAAGATGGCAAAATCGACTTTTCCTGACTTCTGTTCACCAGATGCCAGTAGTACCACCCAGTTGTGACAACCAGAATTAATCTTCAAGACACTTCCAAATATCCCCTGATGAGAGAAAGGAAAGGGGCAAAATAGCCTGCCTACCTGCTATGTGAGCGCCACTATGTTAGATTAGCTCTAAGCAATTATATATGCATATGTGATAGTATGTTGAGATGATCAACATTGAGGTAGCTTTGGACATTTCAGGAGAAGGCTGTTGATCACTTCGTAGGTTGAGTTAAGAGATAGTAGCCTAGGGTTGGGGTTGTGCCTCAGTGGCAGAACGCTTGCCTCGCACATGTGAGGCACTGAGTTCCATCCTCAGCATCACATAAAAATAAATAAACAAATATATTGTGACCATGTATAACTAAAAAAATATTTTTTAAAAACAGGTGGTAGGGCTGGGGTTGTGGATCAGTGGTAGAGTGCTCACCTAGCATGGGCAGGACCCAGGTTCGATCCTCAGCACCACATAAAAATAAAATGCATTGTGTTGTGTCCATCTACACCAAAAAATAAATATTAAAAAAAGTCATTGTTTATTAAAAAAAACAGGTGGTAGCCTAATATTCTGTAATTCTTATAAATAATTTTTTTCAGTTCTTATAAGAAAGAAGTAAAAAAATAGAGAAAGGTCAGAAAGATTGATAACTTCAAGCTCTTGGCAAGTGAGAGCTGAGGCAAATTGAGGGCAATCACAGGAATAGGAGAATAGACTTTTTTAAATTAAGAGGGACAGAATTTAGCTCTTACTCCAACTGAAATGAACCTTATCTAGAAAATGACTTTCAATTCATAAATCACCAACAACCAGGCTGGGATTGTGGCTCAACGGTAGAGTGCTCCCCTAGCACGGGTGGGACCCGGGTTCGATTCTCAGCACCACATAAAAATAAAGGTATTGTGTTGTGTCCATCTACAACAAAAAAGATTCTTTCTCTCTCTCTAAAAATAAATAAATAAATAAGTCACCAACAAGGACCTGAGCTTAGTCCTGGGACATGGACACAGTCTACCATAGGAACCATGGTGGGGACCCTAGGCTTCTTGATGCACAGGAATTTGTAGACATTTGCATGATTTTTCAGTACCTCTTGCCTTGCTAATACCAATACTAGGAAAATAATTTTCCCAGGGAATATTTTTTTGGTGGCAGGACAGAGTGGGAGTACGTTTATCTGAATGAATGTAGTCATGTTTATGTTCCTGTGGGTTCAATGACCCAAGGAAAAAAAAATACAGCAGTAGTCCAGTAGATGGTGCTGTATCTGCCTAATTCATCAAGCACTTACAAATTAAGGTTGTATGTGACCATGTCTTTCCCAGTAGAATATTTTCTTCAGTCCTTTGGATATAAGTTGAATTTAGCTATACTTTAAGTTAAAGATATCTGCCAAATTAAACAGAATTTGCATTTATGTTAATTTTCACTTCTGATTCAAAACATGCATTCCTAATCAAGGTAACCTGGCAGTCAGTACAAAGCAAGGCTTAGGCCCAGAGGCACAAGAACATATTGTGTTCAAAACAAAAGGTTTTTCCTTTGTTTCAATTTTCATTAATGCCATAGTCAGGAGGCTTAATAACACTACTACTGGCACGCATAAGCAAAACTGATATACAAATCTTTTAATGTTCATTTCTTCAATATCCTGCTGGCTGATAAAGTCAGATGTGTGTTTTGTTACTATCCTTGGTAGTCTAAGATATTAAAAAAGACAGAGCTTAGGATATTAAAATGACTTATGGAATTCAGAAATATAATAATGTGCTCCAAAAGATAGCTTCATGAGTTGGAGTTCTAGTTTCATAGCATTCAGAAAGGTCAAATTTCTGAATATTACCCTGAATATATTCAGGATATCTGGCTTGTCTCATGTCAAAATGAGAAGTTCTAGGGCACATTTACACAATTATAATTGGAAAGTTATGAGATTCATAATCTACTGAAATTTATAATCCCATGGGGAGAAAAAGGATCCAAATATCCTTATCTTTTATAACTCGTGAAGTCAGTCTCCAATATGTGTGAGCCAAGAGGAAGGATCTCACTGCAATTATTGTAAGTAGTATTTTTTTTTTTTAAGAAAGAGAGACTCTTGTTGGCTCTCATTGGAGCTGGACTTACTTGTATAACAAAACAGATGAAGGACCCTTGAGGAGGATGGTAGTGACAGCAATGGGTAGAGGGTGGAGGAAGTTGCTACTCTACATATATAACTCCATGTTCCACTTAAAACATGGTCAGAAAAAATGAAGACAAATAAAATAGTGTTGATGGTGACTCCAGTTAGGCAGAAAACAGACAAAACAGAAGTCAAAGAGAAGTAAAGAAAGTAGGGAGAGGGCTGGGGCTGTGGCTCAGTGGTAGCATGCGTGAGGCACTGGGTCGGATCCCCAGCACCACATTAAAAAACAAACAAACAAACAAACAAAAAAACCCTGAATAAACAAAATAAAGGTGTTGTGTCCATCTATAACTGAAAATATTTTCAAAAATGGGGGTGGGGGGGCAGGGAGAAGGGATATCTTCCAAACGTGTGAACCTTACTCTTGTGTGTTACCTACATGTACCTCAATGAAGCTATTAATAACATGATCATACATATTTCCCATCAAAATAATGGAGAGCATGTTAGTTAGTTTTCTATTATTACAACAAATATCCAAGATAATCAGTTTATGAAAAGAATAGCTTTATTTTGGCTCCCATTTTTGGGGGTCTCAGTCCATGATGTTTTGGTCTGGTTGCCTTTGGGCTTGTGGTGAGGGTGCATGGCGGAGCAAGCTCTTACCTCATGGTGTGAAAGCAAAAAAGAGAAGGAGGAAAAGAGTACTCTGCAGTGGAGTATTTGGAAAATGCTGTTTCAGAGATAAAAATAGCACATTTTGCTGTCACATTGAAAGGATTGTGAAGATGTAAAAACTTACCAAAAGGATCTACTTAATATCCTGAGAGTTAAGATTTTTGCTTAAACTTGGCTTCTTGGTACAGTTGTTTAGTTTTTGCCCTATCATTCTCCTAATTGAAACATCATCCGTATTGGGAAATAACTGTTTTGTTACTCCTGTAAAAGACAACAATAACACCCCAAAACACTTCATGAGACTTTTGAATCTTAAAGCACAAACTGAGGCAAAACATTAAACATCCTACATTGTAATTTTGTCTCCATTTTACAAAAGTACCCCAAATTCCCAAGAGGTATTTAAATGATTTTGTTTTCAAAATAAAACAAGAGATAACAGAGGGTCCATATTGTCTGTTTTTTTTTAATTATACATGGATACAAATATCTTTATTTATATTTTTATGTGGTGCTGAGGATAGAACCCAGTGCCTCACATGTGCGAGGCAAGCACTCTGCCACTGAGCCACAACCCCAGCCCCAGAAGGTCCATATTGTAAAAGCAGAATATACTTTTGTCTTCCTATGGCACCATTCAACTATAACCCTGCTCCTTACTTCCAACCTGAAATCTTTTTGCTCCATAATGTTAGGTATTTATTTTTATCCATTCCTAACATCAGTTGAAACTACTAGATTCCAAATTATCTTTTTCCAGGTAAGAAATGACATACATAGAACCCGGATTCAGAGACTCTCTAAATTTGTTGGATGATTGCAAAAAAAAAAAAATCTTTTTTTAAAATAATCTAGATGATTATATGTAAGAAGGTTTATTAATTTAAAAACTACAAATAGTATAGTCAAGTTAACCTTCATCTTTCTAGAATAAAAGACGAAGGATATAACCAAGAAAGAGAAAAATGGAAATTGTTATTGAAATTTTATTTTAAATTTTTTTATTTTTGAAAACCACAAATGTTATTAATTCAAACTTGTTGGTCATATGACCTTCAGTTTTATTTTATTTTATTTTTTTTTTTAATATTTATTTTTTAGTTTTCATGGACACAACATCTTTATTTTATTTTTATGTGGTGCTGAGGATCGAACCCAGTGCCTTGTGCATGCCAGGCGAGCACGCTACCACTTGAGCCACATCCCCAGCCCATGACCTTCAGTTTTATTTTAAAAACCATTTTAATGAAAAGTTTTCAATAAATTTTCCCATGTTTAATGGAAGCATTATACTATTCTAAAATTTTTCTTTCATAGAACAATAAATTTGAAAAAAAAATAAAAAGGACCATGAAAGAATAACTTGACCTTGAATGGTAACACAATTTCAAATTTGTGTGACAATATAATGAAATGATATTATCACCTATGATTTCTTGAACTTCATTCTGATTCATAGCTGGTTTTACGGCTTTGTCCCTTGAAGTAGAGGATTTTGCCCCTGTCAGGCTATGTGTGGCCATGTATTCGTTTGTGTAAAGTACTTGCATTAAATCATTAATAAACTTCTGAGGCTTGCTCTTATTACAACGGGCAATCTGCCATTTTTCAATCTTGAACTAAAAAAGTAAGAAATAATAGTCGAAGTTAGAAAAAGAAAAATGGTATCTGGAGAAATATATTACTAATTAAGATGTGCCAGCAAACAATATCAACATTATTTAAGGTGACATATTATACTTTAGTATATGCTTTACACTTCAAGGGTTAGAGTTTAATGTTATCTTTGAGATAATTCTCAGTATTTATGAGATATTTGTTCCAGGGTTCATGTAAATTCTTGTCATGTAATCTGGATTTGGTGCTTCAAGGATCAATCCTATCCTCAGCACTGCATACCAAGTGTGGTAAGCAGAATAATGGTCTCTGAAGATCACAGCCTAATCCCTGTACTGTGACTATATTACCTCACAGTACAAAAGCAATTTTGTAAGATGTGATTAAAGGTAAGTACTTTGAGATGGGAAATTATCCTGGATTGCTCGTGTGAGCTTAATCTACTCATACAAGTACTTAAAAACAGAAGAGGGAGGCAGAAGAGTGGGTCAGAAAAGAGAGACACAAAAAAGAGGAAAGATTCAGAAAGAGAGACTTATGTGTCATGGCTGGCTCTGTAGGTAGGAGAAGTGGGCCATGACCCCAAGGGGTGTGATTGCCTCTAGCTGTGGGAATGGCCTTTAGTTTAGAGCCAGCAAGAAAATGGGAAATTCAGTTCTACATACAAGAAACTAAGTCCTGCAACACAAATGAACAGGAAACAGATTCTCCTTTACAGTCTTCAGGAATGTTCCTGCTGACCTCTGATTTTAGTTCAGTGAAGCCTGTTCCAGATTTTGGACCTACAAAAATATGAGATACTAAATTTATGTTATTTGAAGTCACTAAATTGTGGTAATCTGTTAATAGCAATAGGAAATTGGTATACTATGACTCAAATATTCTGAATGTTAGATTGTTAATATTTCATTATCCCCTTTGAAGGCATAATTTCCAAGGCTGATCTGTGATTTTAACAAAACCTTATCTTTTTGGGTTTCTGATTTTTGATTAAGAGAAACTGCAAAAAAAAAAAAAATAAATAAAAAAGGAATTGTGATCCTCCAGTGCACAGAGACTGAAATTTATCTTCTCTCAATTATATAAAATTTTATAACTGTTTATGCCTAAGTATCCTCCTGTTATTGGTTTTAGAATGTAATAGCTTAAAAACTTGATCATTTTTCTACAATTTGACTTTAGTTTTTTACACTGGGTATTTGCTCTCAGAAATTAATTTTCATTGCATAGATAAAATAGTTCAATATAATAAGAATATTAAGGTTATGTCCTAAACTTACCTAAAAACTTATCTGATACAACAATGATCATTTCTGCCTTTATTTTAATTTTTGCATTTAACTATTTTCCAGAGAACGACAGGGCAAGTATTCCAACTGACCTGCTTCTCTTCAGGATGATGCTCCTCCTCAGCCTTCAAGGAAACTGGTGAACTAGAATTAGAATTGGAATTACTGCCTGTTGAGGCAAATGAATCTGGTGAGGAATTATTTGTTGCTCTCCAGAGAGTGGACGCAGATGTGGACATGGTCCCTCCACCCTTAAGCAAGGTTTCCGCCATGCTAACCAATTCTTCAAACTGGGTGACTGCTTGTGGTAACACTGGAATGGCAAGAGAAAGTAGCATTTTACAAACATGTTCATAAGGGTGCATATTTACATATTTTTATTCTGTATATGTGCACAGAACTATGAGGAATAAATTGTTAATATTTTCTACCTTTGGTAAATAAACATAGTGGAGAGGGTGAAACATTGATTTTTTTATTATTAAATAACTTAATAATTGTTTAATAATAATAAATCAATTTTAAAACAATTTGGTCATTGTATTTAAGTGTATATGTATTACTTTGAAGCTAAAAAGTTGATACTTAAAATGTTGATTCTTTTTTTCTATATTTGAAGGTGTTGAATCTGTCATTTGGAGACGTTTCTGATTCTATTATCAATCACCTTCTGGAAGTTCACACTAGGCCAGTTTAAATGCCAAGATAAAATCAACAAATTCTTACAGATTCAAATAAATTTTCCACAACCTTTGTGTATGGTCCACCACCACAGTCAAATTCTATCAAATTAATAAAAATACACTGCTGCAATTCAAATCTATGTTGTCATGTATTAAAGATGAATTTTGCTAATCAACTGAATATTCACTTTGTCCCTTTTTGTTTGTATTGGAAACTTACACATTCAAAGTTTTCATGCTTCCATGTAAAATGGTCTTCTCTGTTGTTATATCTAGTTTGTTTCCTAAGGACAAATAACATGTTGTTGGAGTTGGAAGAGATCTTGAACCCTGTCTAATTATATTCCTCAATCAAATGTCAAGGGCACTGCTTGCTGGAGAAGTGAAAGAGACTCTGAAACAAACTGAAATAATCTTTCTCTCTTCTCTCTTCTCTCTCTCTCTCTCTCTCTCTCTCTCCTTTCTTAGGTATTTTTCTTAAGCATATTATTGAGCTATACTCTTTAGAATAATTTATGACAAATCAAAATTAATACATCTTGTACTATATTAATAGGCAACTCTACTAAAGAAGAATTTATAGTTTCTTATTCTTTCAATAAATATTCACTAAGCATCTCTTATGGTGCCAGACACTTATTCAATCAGTGATTATTTATTGAGCATTTAATAATATTAAATATTTATCTAACTTTTTCTCTGTGCCACAAACTATTCTGAGAATTCCTGTGATGTTCACTCAATCAATCCTCATTGCAGAAGAGGTCAATTAAAGGATAAGTAACTTGTCCAGAAGAGCCAGATTCAGACTGTCAGTACCCACATCCATGTTTTACAGACTCTCAATATTTGCCAACCACTATGTGAAGTGCTAGGGGAAAAAACTGGGAGCAAAACCAGATGTGACCCTTGCCCTTTTGGAGCTCAGAGTATGGTAGATAATCTTTCTCTCTTCTCTCTTTCTCTCTCTCTTTCTCATGTATTTTTTCTTAAGCATATTATTGAGCTATACTCTTTAGAATAATTTATGACAAATCAAAATTAATACATCTTGTACTATATTAATAGGCAACTCTACTAAATATGGTGGAGTGGGGTGAAGGGGAGGACATTATTCACATAGCCATGCAGTACAGTAAGAATTTTGTCTTGCTCAAAGAGGGTCTGGCCTTTGTGCCAACTCCTAGATGGTAACTTCTAAACCCTTTGGGGTTTCCCGAAGGATAGATTTATCTTTGTTAATCATGGTGAGCACCTGGGACCACACCTGGTAGTTTATGCTAATAAGGTAATTCAGAGTAAAGTCTTTTGTACCCAATATCCAGAGGGTAGAAGCTGACCACAACTAGAAATCTAGAAAGATCTACCATATAATTTAGAGACTGAATTCAAGCATGTGGACAATCAACCAGTCATGCCCATATGAAGCCTCATTCAAAACTTTGGATATCAGAATTCCAATGAGCTTCCTGAAGGAGCATTACTGTCTGCATATGGTCACACATAGATCCAGGAGGGTAAGACTTCCTGAGGACAACAGAACTCCATATTTAAAAAACCTCCTAGATTCTACCCTCCTCATATTCTAATTTGTGTCCTTTACTTTGTAATACAATCATGACTTTAAATAGGCTTCAGTGAGCTCTATGAATTTTTCTATCAAATTATTAAATGTGAGGGTGGTATTAGGAAATCCCCAAGTTTGTACTTGGTGACAGAAGTCTTGGGCAGATTTGGCAGTCTGGAGGACAGTGCCCTTGACCTTGCAATTGGACTAACTTGTACATGCAAAGAAATAAAAATTATAATTCTGAAGTTACACAAAGAGGCATTGATCTGAGAGCTAAAGACCCAATAGGAATTAAAGAGCTGAAGAGAATGAGGGGAGGTCATTATAGGCACAGAAAATGCATGATCTGTATTTGAAGAACTGAAAGAAGGCTAAAGCTATAATGTCAAGACAAAAAGGGAATTTGGTTTAATATTTGAAGATTTATTTTGGTTGTTGTATGAATAAGCAATTAATTCCTTTTTGTCAATGACTATATTCCATTACTTCACAATTAATACTCTGCAACAAATGCATCTAATCATCTATTGATTAATTATTTACCATTGATACATAATTTTAATTGTTCCCTAATAGTCTAAGATATTGATGTTATATAATTTACTTAAATGCTCCATTTTTGCTTCTTGGAGATTAGGTTACTTCCAATTTTTCTTTATTACAAATAAAACTCTGACCAGCCTTCTAGCACATACATCTTCATGTGCATCTCTGATCATGTCAATTCTAGACATTTCTCAAAGCATTATATTAGGGTCAAGAGGTATAAATAAATGTTTTCAAGATTCATTTAGTTACCAAATTCTCTTCAGAAAGACTTTTTCTGATTTACATTTCCATTAAAAATGTAAGACATTGGCCATTTCACTGTACCACTAACAACAGGCTTTAGTCATTAACAATAATCTTCACTTTTTGAGAGGTTAAAGTCTTAGTACAATTTAAGTTGTAATTATTTAATTATTGTTAAGTTAAATATGTATTTATTTGGTTTTTTTTGAGTGTTTGAATTTCTTTTAAGAATTACCTATGATACTATTGGCACCAGTACGTTTTTGTATTTTTTGAAAACTTACTTGGCCTATGTAAAATGCTTACAAGACTGCCTGCTGTACAATGTATAAGTTATTGCTGTTAACTCCTTTGTATATTAGCAATTTAATTATTTGTATGTTAGCATTATTTGTATATTAGCATTCTAATCTTTTATTTGTACGAAATTGTGATTACCTTTCTCAGAATGTTTCTTCTTAATGTTATCACATTTTAAAAGCATACACAAAAGCCTAGTGTGACAGTGTGCACCTCTGTAGTCCAAATCACTTGGAGTCTGAGGCAGGAGGATCCCTTAGGCCCAAGACTGTGAAGCCAGGCTAGACAACATAGGGAGATCCTGCCTTTAAAATTAAATAAATAAATGTGTGTGCACACGCCCAGTTTGAGTCTTTATTCTAGTTAAAAGTAGTGATATTTTCTTAGTATATTGTCATTTTATGCTTGAAAATTATTCAAATATTCATTCATATATTGAATAATTGTAACATATTTTTAGAAATGTTTTCTCCCCACATATATATTTTAAACTTTTAATGGAAAAATTTAAACACAGACAAAAAATGGTAAAATACCCTAGTTTCTGCTCAAGTGAAGCCAATCTTGTTCTATCTTCCCAACTACTTTCTTCCCAAGATTACTTGATTCGAGTCACACGTATCATCTCATTTTATTTGTAAATATTAGTATCTATAGATATTCATTCCATTTATGAGTATGTATTTCTAAAAGGTGAAAAATTAAAAAAATATAACTGTAACACCACTGCCACAGTAAGAAATAATTAAAAGTAATTCTTTAAAAAAACCTGGTCAATGTTTAAATTTCTCTGCCAAGTTGGTTTTGTTTTTGTTTTTTAACAGTTTGAATCAGGACCCAATCAAGACTGTGCATTACAATTATTTGCTGTTTCATAGGAACTATAGTTTCCTCTCCCTCTCCTAGTTTTCTCCCTTGCAATTTATTAGTTTAAAAAACTGAGTCATTTGCTTGGAGGATTTCACTTGGTCTGGATTTTGCTGATTTTACAGCTAAGTAGGCATTTAACATATTCTTCTGTTCTTTGTATTTGATATAGATTAGTAGTTAGATCTGAAGTCTTATTAGATTCAAGTAGTGCTTTTAATGCGTGGTTAGCTCTTTTATGATATTATAAGCCACGATGATCACTGCTTAGGTTCATTATCTCATAAGAGGTCCCCGAATGGTGATATTCTAATTATTTTATTTTTTGCTAACTAGCTGAAATTCTTTTAAAAAGGGAAGCTCCCTCTTACCAACTATTTGGTCACTCAGAGGTTCATTTCATATAGTAATGACAGGATAAATGCTTCATTTTGGGGGGTCTGTATTTGCCAGTTTTCAAAGTAATTAGTTGCTTTTTTCAGATGACTATTAGATTATGAACTCATACGCTTAAACATGTACAATATGTTTCTACCTATTGTGATTATCATTCTTTTTTATTTTATTTTAATTTTTACATTTGTTCTAATTAGTGTGGTTATCATTCTTTTTGATGCTCAATCTGCACTTCTTTGGTTAGTAGGAAGCTCTTGTAGTTAACACAATCACAGTCTTTGTTATACTTCCTCACTGGTATGGCAAGATGTTCCTATTTCCTGTTCAAAGCCCCTGACAAGGCTCATGTGGTGTATTCCATGTGCAGATATCAAATCAGCCTTTTCTTCAAGGATCTTGAGTTTCTTTTAGTGGGAAATAATGCTATAAGACTACATCCAGGTGCTAGAAATCTCCTTTGCTATTGAGTTCTTGTTTCTAGTCCTATTTAGTGAATAGTATTAGGAAATATATGATGTTACATTTTTAAAGACAAAGTTCATCAACTCTTCAAACAAGTACTTCCCATTCAAATTCAGAATGTGTAGTTTTTATTTAAACTGCATAGGCATGTTTTCATGTGCTACTTGGTGCAAAATGAGAACCTAACTTGGAATATCAGTTTTTCCAACACCATTTGCTGAATAATCAATGATTTTCCTCATT